ACACTTCCGGTCATTAATCTGGCTCAGTGTACAAATATGAAATACTTCAGGAAGTACTGTTACAGTTTTAGGTTTCTGTGTGTAGCCGTCTCAGTTTTTAGTTTTAGGACTACAAACATGGTGGTCAAAGTGTAACGTCTGGACACGGTGGTCAGTTTGTAAAGTACAGCTGCCTTGTACCTCTGTTTGAACACCACCATGACCCATTTAGTACCCCGCCTTTGCCTGGTTTTAACTTGACTAGTTCATACCCTCCCTTTGCCCACTTTGTTTCCTGCCTTTGCTCGCTTCGTACCCTGCTTTTGTCAGGTTTTGACCACATTTAATTCTTTTGTACCCTGCTGTTTCTCGCTTCGTACCTCGCCTTTACCTGCTTTGTACCCTGCCTTTGTCAGGTTTTGACCTCGCTTTTAATCGCTTTGTACTTTGCTGTTGCCCACTTGGTACCCTGCTTTTGTCAGGTTTTGACCTCACTTTTAATCGCTTTGTACCTTGCTGTTGCCTGCTTTGTACCCTGCCTTTACCCGCTTCGTACCCTGCCTTTGCCAGGTTTTGACCTCACTTTTAATCGCTTTGTACCCTGCCTTTACCTGCTTCGTACCATGCCTTTACCCGCTTCGTACTCTGCTTTTGCCAGGTTTTGACCTCACTTTTAATTGATTTGTACCTTGCTGTTGCCTGCTTCGTACCTGCCTTTGCCTGATTTTAACCTAACTTTTAATCTATTCATACCTTGCCGTTGCCTACTTCCTACCCTGCCCTTGCCCACTTTGTACCCCATCTTTGCCCACTTTGTACCTGACCGTAGCTTGATTTTTACCTCGTTTAATTGCTTCGTATCCCGCCTAAGCCCGCGTCGTACCCCACCTGTGCCTAATTTTTACACAGTTTGTAATAGCTTCATTCACTGCTGTTGCCCGCTTTGTACCCTGGCATGTCCTGCTTTCAACCCTGCCTTTGCCTGATTTTTACCTCCCTTTCTTTGCCAGCTTCACATCTTGCCTTTGTACCCCACTGTAATCCACTTCGTACCCTTTGCCTTTTCCCTGCCTTTTCTCTCTACCCGCCCCACCTCCTCCTGCTTCCATATCACTTCTGTAAACAAACTGGATCAAACGTGACATGTTTTTTTTAAAGGACAAAAGCTAAAGGTGCGCCTGTGCCCGCTCCAGGACTCCAGGCGAAGTTTTCCTCCAAACATCGACGCGGCTGCTTCTGACGCTGGAATGAACGCTGATCCAACATTTTGTTGTTGCGATGAAAACCCACATGTTGTTTCCGGGTCTGTTAATGAAAACTGGAGCCGGCGGGACAGTTCGTACCCGAACCAGACGCTTCTCTCAAAGCGTTCAGCCTCCTCTCCGTGAAAACGCTCCGTCAGAGAAGCGACGGCTCCGTTCGGCCTCGTGTGAATAATTTACGCTCGCTGAAGCCGAGCTGCTTCTAATCCTCCACTAAACGACTCTGTGCTGAGGGAAGACCCACAGCGAGGAGAACTGATTGAACGGCATAAAAAATAAATAGTTTGTGATCCAGATCACTTTGTGTTCCCTGACGGTCCAGATCACGCCCGTGCGGTGCACGTGCACGCTCGTTTCCCTCCCGTCAATCTGTTTTTCCTCCCTCTTTGCACACCCGTCCTCGCAGATTTGCGGTTGGCGTGCGTTCTTCCATCTGGCTCGCACACGCGTCACATTTGGACGTTGCGTAACGGCCTCAGGCCTCGGCGCCGCAGCTCTGCTGCATGAGCCGAAGAGACGAGGAACCGTCGGCTTATGTAAAGGCATTAACAGGAGCAAACGACCGTGGCTTCGGCTGCTTAACCAGCTGAAAAAGCAACGTCTGAGTGTCCATTAAGGAGGGAAGACGTGCAGCAACAAAGGAAGGAGCCGCAGGCCGAGTCGTGCGTCTTCCATAATTAATCATCCGAGGCGTGTTGAAGCAGCTTCGACGCTCTGCAGCCGAAGATTTTAATATTTTTAAAACTAAGACATGGTCAGAGTTTCCAGCCGGTGTTTGAAAGTTGGACGATTTGGTCAAAAACTATAAAAAATGTTAAGTTTCTGATCAGTAAATTGACCAGAGGGGTTTCATTGTTGTACAATTCTATGAAATAATATCCCTCCTGCTGCTCTTGGGTCAAAAACTGAGGCCTTTTGGGTCATTTAGAACTTTTATTTTGTTAATCAGACTGAGTGTACAGCATTGATCCATTCTTTAGTCCACAATTCCTCTCCTTATTATTTACTGTTTCACTTAAAAGCGGTAGTTCAGATCTTTTGAAGTGCACTTCTGTTGAGATTATATGAGCAGTAATTATCTTACCTGTTGCAGATGGGTCTTTGAACAATGCCGGTTTATTTCCGACCAGATCAATGAGCTAACGATTTATGCAAAAGCTGTTTTAAAGGTTATTACTTTGAATTTTCTGATCATTTGCAAGCATGAATCATGGCAGCTGCAGCTAGCTGTAGCACTTTCAGCGCAACCCTGGAGCACCTCAGGCAAGAGTGTCTTTAGATTTCTTCTGGAACAACCGTGTAAAACCAAAACTGAAGGGTATTTTCAGATTGTATCCAGAGTTGTTGCGGAGGACAACACATCTGTTTAGTTTCTGTCACTTTAGGAGCCTAAAAATACAAAAAGTGGCAGAAAACTTGTTAATATCAAAGTCCATGCTGAATAATCCAGGTAAAAATCCAACAATGTTCAGTCAGGTCATCTGGATGGTTAAATTTTTTTGCCGAGATGTTTCATCCTTCAGCCAAAAACGGCACACTCCATAGTGGAGGAAAAAAAAACAGTTTGCTGGTGCTAAGATGGCTTTTTCCACTATGAAGTGTGCCGTTTGTGGAAATCGGTTTGTTTGGTGACTCAGAATGAAGAAGTCCTTTGGATGAAGAACGAAATGTCTCGGCAACTAACAAAACCATCCAGATGACCTGACTGAACACTGTTGGAAAACATCTTAATATTAAAACAAAAAAATTGCAGTAATACACATAATTGAACTCATTTTGTCACAACTGTCCTCTTTTCGTTTTAACTTCTTTTGGCGCAGCCAAGGTGAAACAGGAAGTGACGTCAAAGAGGAACTCTTTGAAAACAGGAACTCTCTGGTCTTTGTTTACTGAAACATTAAGACTGACTCTTTGTCTCTCTCTGATGAACTCAAAATCATCTAAAGAAACATCAGATTATTTGTTTCTGTCTGTGTTAGCCTTTTACCTTCGACATCACTTCCTGTTCCTGACATCACTTCCTGTTACTGCACATATGAATTCCTACAATTCATTTGTAGTTCTTTTAAATGACCGGCCTCTCTCCTGATTTCTCACGAGTCTTTTCAGAACGGGTCAGACTTGTTTACTGAAGCGGATGACACTGAAAACCTGGCTGTTAAAAGTTAAAGGACAAGCGGAGTTATAATTTAACAAACGTCGTAAGACGGAGTTCGTCTCGTTCCACTCCTGACAACAGCAACGATGAACGTCCGGTTGTATTTTGTGCTTCAGCTGGCATTTCAGAGAGTTTTTATTTTTGATTTTATCCAGAGCTGTAATCCAGAGGCTGCCTGAATCTAAATCCTGTCTGGAGTTGTTTGCCGGCATCTCTTCAGGAGATTAATATCGTTTTTATTTGATCAGAAGCCTCTCGGGACGCTGAACGTTAATCTGAGCTGCGTCGTGCCGGGCAGAGTCGCTACAAAAGCTTCGTTTTGAAACAAAAAAGACAAAAAGTGACGACGGAGTTCAAGGTCAGAGGTGACTTCAGTCTTCGTCCCAGATTCAGATGAAACGTTTGTCACAGAGAACAAACCTCCCATCAGAAGCCGGGATTTGACTTTTTAAAGTCGTTTAATTGCACTTGGGTCAGTTTTATCACCCCAAGTTCTGTTTGGACTTAAAACGTCTGAAATGGGTCCAGATTTTCCATTTTAGGTCATAAAGCACTTTTTAGTTTTGTCTTGTATTTGAATTTATTGGTTTTAATTTGCCGGCGGCGTTTATTCTGTTATTTTTATATGCTGTTGACAAAACTACAAGTCCCATCATGCACCAGTCCTGTCAGCAGGAAAACATTCAGTGTTTCTGTGAAAGAATCTGACCTCGCTGCTCCTGGAACTGGTTTGTTTTTGTTACTTTTGTGACTCATTTTCTGTTTTCATGCTCGTCTTCAGTTTTAAACCATAGTTTTGTTTTTTGTTTTTTATTTAAACCGTAAAGTAAAAAAAAAAAGTTTTTAATTTAATCGACTGAAACTCACCGGATCTTGTTTTTTGTGACCGCAGCAAATGTTCCAGGTGGGAACACATGGATTTATGTTTTTTTTTTTAATGTTCTGCTCCTTTTTATTAGGAGTCTGCCGCTGTTTTCTGGGTTTTGCGGGTGATCATGTTTTTGCCCATATTTGTTCGTTGTGTTAGCAAAATAATCCACAAACCACCGGGCGAACTGCAGTAAAACATTCACGAACTAATCCTCGGTTCTACAGCTGACCAGCTTAGAGTCGATTCAAGATGGCCGCCACAGCCAGCTGACTTTAGCAAACACAAAAGTGGCTACAGTTTACCCAACTGTTGGAGTCACCTGTTTTCTCTGTTAGCAAAATATCTCACAACCCACTGGGCAGATTGGATGTTTGTCTGAAGTTCTAACTTTCGCTGTAAGTCAGATTCAAGATGGCGGTTACGGCTGATCGACATCAGCCATCAAACGTGGCTACGACTCGGGCGGTTTTACAGATGCTGAAGTTTGATGTGGTGGTAGCTGAGAGTCGTCCTCAATGCGTGGTCTGAGGGCGACATCGTTGTGAAGCTGCTGGCTGACGGCGGCGTTGCTCGTTAAACGGCGTTCTGAGGCGGAGGAGGGGGTGTTCTGGACGGGTGGTGAGAACACTAATCCCTGGATGGGGGGGGGGTTATGGGGGGTGGGGGGGGGGGGGGGGGGGGGCGTGCCTGATCTGTGGGGGCTTAGAGACACGGGTAGACGAGCGGCTGCAGCAGCGGCGGCGATGCAGCGACGTGCTCATTAGCGTGATGTCCACAGAGGCTCAAGGGTTACGTAAGGGCGACCCGCTGTCGTCCTGCTCGCAGCCGGCAGCAACGTGGCCGCTTTGTCCCCCCCTACCCCACCGACGCTCAAGAGAAACCAAAAGGACATCTGTCGGGGATGAGGCGGAGCCTGCAGCTGGTTGTCATGGAGAGAGCGGCGCACTGATCGGTCCGCCGCCTCCGTGACTCGGGAGGAGAGACGCTGAGCTCGCCTCGCGCTCCGATGGAGGCGTCGTCATGGCGATGAGCTCGGAGAGGCGACGGAGATGAAGTTTAAGAAGTTCATCACCATCATGCAGGCGGCCATGGGGGTGGTTCCCCTCAACAAGCGGGAGCTGCTGCCCCCCGGCAGGAAGCTGTGGAGACCGCCGGGGTGAGTTTGATCCCCGTCGGCGTGTTCGGCTGTTCGGTCGTGATCGAACGTTTAATCTGAACGACCACCGCGTTTTCTCACGGCGTCAAAAATCAAACGAGACGACGGAAACCTCGATCCTTAAAAAAACTCCCTGTTGGATCAGATTTAACTGGTTTGGAAACATTTTGTCACCTGGAGTTTAAATTTTTATGATTTTCTGCCAGAAAAGCAGGCAATCATGTACCGTTCTGTGTCTGTTAGCAAAATATCACTTGAACCGCTGGATGGATTTTAATAAAACTTCCATTAAAACTCAGTTTATTTGACTCGGATCAAGATGGTCGTCGCAGCTACTTAACTCTGTCAAACACAAACGGCTAAAAAATTTGTCATTTTAGCTAATATGAGCTAAAATTTTTCGTGGTAGTAGCCGAGAGTCTTCCCTGAAACGTAACATGATCGCTCACGTCATTTTAAATGTTTGACCCAAACCGTCATTTTTTTCTGAAAATGTTTGTGAACAGAAGATAAAGTTTTAAAGTTAAGCAGTTTGTTTTTATTTAATTTGAATAAATTTGTCTTAACGATGCAAAAACATTTTTACCCTGAAACATTTCTGTTGTTGAAGAAACATCATGACACGTTAATGAGAGTTAGACACAAATAACCAAAAGCGCAAGATTTAAACTGCGAATGTACGAGGAAAGTAACACCGTTGTAATCTGGAGACATTTTCATGTTGGGGGGTGAGAATTTCAAAGTAAAACACTTGAAGGTAAAAATCCGATGAGTACTGGTGTGAAAACTTCTTCGATTTGAATCTTAAACGAGCCGAATTAAAACATTTTCATCATCTCGTGATGTTAAAATCAGAAAAAATGTTTTAAAAAGTTTGACTCGTTTCAAAAACTACATGAAAATCGTCTTTTTAGTCAATTCAGGTAAAATATTCCAGTTATTGAGCCGTAAATCTGCTGTTAACGATGAAACAAAAGTAATAATTAGAGCCCGACTATACGAGCTAATGCTGAAAACTGATATATTGGCTGAAAATCTTTGATCTTTGTCCCCAGTAATCTAAACGGCTACTTTTAGACCTGTTTGAACACTTGAAGTCTAGAAACAGCCTTCCTAATGTGCGTTCATGTTTTTTATCCTCTACTATTCACCATAAAGTTGTCAGTTATCACCGATATATCCCCAAATGCCTATATCGTTCCTACTGATGTATATCGGTTGGGTTCTATTAATGTTTAAGAAGAAGAAAAAGCTTCTGAAGCTAAAAACGCGTCACACGATGCATAAATGTTTTATTATCCAGTCAGATAAAAGGCTGGAGCGTAATTATCGCTGTTAGCAAAATATCTGAGCCGCCAGATGTAACGGTTGTTACTTTTCGAGCCAACCACGGCAAACCAACCATAGCATCACAACAACGGTGATGACTGCTAATTTCAGAGAAACTGAGCTAATGTTTGGTGTGGTGGTAGCTGAGCGTCCTCCCAAACACGTACTCTGTCACATCGACGACTCCGGCGCAGCGTTGTCTCTGGAACAGGAGCGACTCGAGTATCAGTCCCGCTCCGTTGGCATCGATGCGGTCCGAAACCAACGTTCGTATCAGACGATGGTGTCGGTTCCCAGTCATCCAAGACCAGTCGAAGCTGCTGGACTTTTGTTCTGCAGCTGAAGACGTGTGGCGCGCTGAGCTGTAACCTGCACTGTCTGCGTCGATGCGATCCACGCCCACCTCATGGACGTTGGAGTCGGATCCGTTCAGACTGAGGTCGCTTTAATAAACGGATCTGATTTGGTGCCGCAGACCACAAAGACCTGGGTCAGATTGAAAAACTTTGACTCTTTTTCAAACGTAGACTTTGAAAATCAATTTGGTAATTTTTGCGACGTGCTGACTAAATGAATCTGAGCACGAGCCGTAGTTTGAATAATAAAAACATTAAAATAATCATTTTTGATTGAAATTTGAAAAAAAAAAAAAGAAAACGTGTAAAGACGCCATCGTTAAATCAAAGTTTATGTCTTCAGAAATAATCCTGTTTTTTAATCTTTATAATTTCCCATTTAAATTGACTATTTCTCTCTGCTGGGAAATCCCTTCATATAATGTTGGTCGTCATTGTGAAGCTTAGCTTCTGATGACATCACTCCAGACCAGTAGGAGTTTTCAAACAAACTATTAACAATTGACAGACACGTGAAACTACATGATCGCCCGCTGTTCACGGCAGCAGGAGATAAAGATCAGCTGATTGCAGCCGAACGCTGACCCACACCTTCTGTGGAACCGATGGTTCATTGAGGACTCTGCTGTGTTCTTCTGTGCACAGGGACCAGGTTTGCGCTGACCAGACCAGCACTGACCTGCTCAAGTCCGGCCGCAGGTTCTGCTGGTCCAGAGAAGCCCAGTACTTGTACATTCGCCGCCTCTCCTCAAGGAGCTTCTCAGCCATCCTGATGGTATGATGCTGCGTTAAATATTGATGTTGTTCTAAAATTAAACTAACAGGTCGGGCTTTCGCTTCGGTGCACCACGCCTGCTGAGGATCCGATGGGCAACGGCTCTACAGCTGTTTGTAACGGGGGGAGATCATTTCTTCTTCCAGGTGGGGTTATGTGGAGTACTTATGAGTGGTTAGTATCTTAGCTGCAGTAGATGGCATATGTGTAACCACATATGCTAAAAGCTAAAAAAAAAGTATGTAACAATTAAAATAACGAAACTGTAGCTATAAGCTGAAAGAAGTAAAACTGTGCCTCAGAGCTAAAAGAAGCAAAAATCATAAATTAATTAACAAAAAAATTAAGGAAGCTAAAGCTAAACTCTAAAATAAAAGCTTAATGTTTCTAAACATGTTGCTAAACCCCAGCTTAAAAATTTCAAACATCAAAACGGTTACTGAAGAATAGCAAAAACAAAGCTAAAACGAATCTATGCTGAAAGAAAAAACACTACTGTAAAAGTTTCATGCTGTTGTTGCTGTTAGCTTACCACCGATCATGTGCTAGTTTAAGACTTCATCGCTGTTACCCCAATGCTTGGATGGACATTAGCCTGACGGCTCATATGGCCATTAGCCCATCGCTCTGGTGGCTATTAGACAGACACTCAGGTGGCTGTTAGTCCGTCGCTCTGGTGGCTATTAGCCCGACGCTCAGGTGGCTATTAGCCCGACGCTCAGGTGGCTGTTAGTCCGTCGCTCTGGTGGCTATTAGACAGACACTCAGGTGGCCGTTAGCCCGTCGCTCAGGTGGCCGTTAGCCCGTCGTTCTGGTGGCTAGTAGCCCGACGCTCAGGTGGCCGTTAGCCCGTCGCTCTGGTGGCTATTAGCCCGACGCTCATGTGGCCGTTAGCCCGACGCTCATGTGGCCGTTAGCCCGACGCTCATGTGGCCGTTAGCCCGACGCTCTGGTGGCCGTTAGCCCGACGCTCTGGTGGCCGTTAGCCCGACGCTCAGGTGGCCGTTAGCCCGACGCTCAGGTGGCCGTTAGCCCGACGCTCTGGTGGCCGTTAACCCGACGCTCGGGTGGCCGTTAGCCCGACGCTCGGGTGGCCGTTAGCCCGACGCTCGGGTGGCCGTTAGCCCGATTTCTTGTTGTGAGCAGCACAGCCTCAGTACTGAGACATTTAGAGATAAATTGTTGCTCAAAATAGTCAGTCCTCACGCACGTCTGAAACCCATCTCAAACTTTACGTTAATTTTTTTGTAGCACTAGCATGCTGGATCTGTATTTTTTCTTTAGGCAAAGTTGTGAGCAAATTTTGGTACAAATTTCATGAAAAGGTTTTGTAAACATATGATTCAAAGAGATTAAAAAAATTTTTAATTTTTGCAATTCATTTGTCCACCTAGTCCCAAAAAGTTTCATCTCAGCAAGACATTGCCTTTAGCTTTATTGTTAATAGCTGTTAGCTTAATGCTACAAAGTTGTTAGCTCAATGCCAAGTAACCATTAGCTCAGTGCCAAGTAGCTGTTAGCCTTTTTCTGTGTAACTATTATGTTGCTGATTTGGCTTTTAGCTTTTTGTATAACTGCTTGTGTTTTACAGCTGAGTAGCTGTTAGCATGACCCTTCCATGAGAATTCCCTGATTCTCCAAACTGCAGTCACACTGATTGGTATCTACAGCAAGTAAGATACTGACTGCTCATAACCACTCCATACGACCCTGCTTTAAAGCAGACTATCCCTTTAAATGAGAAGAAGGAAGAGCTGATCAGGAGAAATGTGTCTTAGGCAAGAAGAAGAGTGAGGACAGGGATGCTAACTCATCTAACGGCTAAAGCTAGCAGTCCTGAAGTGATGAGTGTAAGTAAAATATTTTCTGAGCCGATCCTGAAATTAGCTGAGTTCTGATGTAACTTCAGCTGGTGTATTTGTGTTGGTGTGACTGATCAGAGACCATCGCTCTCTGGTGTCCACCTGGCAGGACAGAACCTCTGAGCTGAGCCCACGGACCTCTCTGTAGAACCTGACTCGGACGTGACCGGTACTGACAGGCCCTGCTCACATTTGTCATCAGCGTCCGGAGCAAGTAGACATCGGTCAGCGGCTGCTCGACAGCCGAGCAGCAAACGCAACATCAGCAGTTTTTACTGATGGTTCTGCAACCCAAACTGGATCTACGTTCGTCCGTCTAACAGTCCAGAACCATCGACAGAAATAAACATTTTTAATCTCAGGTATTCAACACTCAGAAAGTGAAACATTAAAGCTTTTAGCTCCTTAAATATTGATTGTTTTGGCTGATATCTGGTTTTCATCCAGCCTCACTACAAGACCGCCGTCTTAAAAGCAAGATACTAGCTAAAATCAGCAGGACACTAGCTAAAAGCTAAAATGAAATTAAGAGGGGCAAAATATAAAAATAGCAAGAGGCTAGTTAAAGGTATTAAAATGCTAACCAAAAGCGAAATGTAGTAAAATTGAAGGTGCAATCCAAAGGAAGTAGGTAAATGCCGAAGTAGAAACATAGCAGCTAATGGTCAAAGTTAGCAAAAAGCTAGGTAAAGGTAGCAAATCACGAAATAACGGCCTTAAATCTAGCTTAACAGTTAAAAGCAGCCAAAAGCTAACTGCAAGCAGCCAAAATGTTTGTTTAAAGCAGCCAACAATTAGCCACAAGGTAGAAGCAAAATGTTAGCTAAAAGTAAGAATCATGAGCTAAAACCAAAAACGGCAGCTGAAGTAGGTTTTAACGATCAATTAATTGAAATTGTAAAGGATTTCTGTGAGAAAATGCTTGTAATTCAGGTAAAAATACTTTGAGTATAAAAGTTACATAAACCAAAAGCTGCTGAACGAGCCGAAGGTTTTGATGTAAACAAGTATAACGAGTTGGATTACAGGAAAACTGCAGAGTCAACGCTGACTCGGCAGCAGGTAAACATCCAGGTGGGACTCCTGTGGAGTCCGTCCAGTTGTTTGCTTTCGATTCGGAATTTGGTTCTGAACCAGTTCTTAGTTCTGCATGATCCAAACATTAAACAGCTAAATGGTGTTCCTCCTGTTGTGCGTTAGAGGTTTCAGTGACTCGGTGGCGTTGCGGTGACCTGACCCCTCCCTCCTCTCAGAGCGATGATTAACCGCCGAGACGCGTCTGATCCAGAGCGGCTTTGTTCTGAGGACTCGTCTCACCGATGATCCGGGTCAGGAATGCTGTTCAGCACCGGGGTGGCCCAGTTTGAGGCCCGTTGGCGTTTTTTTATTATTTTTTTATCTGTTCTGGAATGCGTTTACTTTACCACTTCAGCTCTTTTTACTGAAACACTCGGCAGGTTTCTGGCATCAGCTGAACTTTCAACATTTTAGCTGTTTCCATAAATTAACAACATTAATGTGTTCAGTTAACACAAACTGAAAGATGACTCTGCTCGCGTTTTACTGGAACTGTGTCAAAGCTAAAAGGAGCTAAACTAAAACTAAACATGAGCTTAAAGGAGCAAAGTTAATTAAAACTAAATGAGCTAAAAGGAGCATAGCACTAGCAGAGCACCACATAAAAGCTAAAAGAGCAGAGCACTAGCTAAAAGCTGAAAGAGCAGAACATTAGCTCCAAGCTAAAAGGAGCAAAGCACTAGCCAAAAGCTAAAAGGAGCCAAACATTAACTAAAAGCTAACACGAGCAGAACACCTGCCAAAAGCTAAAGAGCACAACATTAGTTGCAAGTTTATAAGTGGCAGAACAGTAGCTAAAAACTGAATCTTAAGACAAAAAGACAAGGAAATGAAAACGTTAAGCCAAAAAAAAAGTTTCTGTGTAAAACTTTTTTTAACAATCAAATTAAATATTTTGAAATGTTTAAAATAAAACCTCAAGTTTCACCACCTGTCTGCTGAATGAGCCGATGGTTTTGATTGATGAGCAGCTAAATGTCTCAAAGTCTGCAGAAGTCGAGTAGCTGTAAAGTTGCAGCTGCACCACATCATGTTTGTTTATGTTTACAGGATCTGATGCAAACACATGTTGTCACAGTTATGCTTCTTATCAGTAAACAAGCTTGGATGTTTACAAACGTTTCTTGAGGGGGCTGATGAAGTGAAGTGCTGATATAGTTTTAAACTTGTATTTCTTACATCCTTTAAGTCAGTTTGTGTTGGGTTAAAAATTATATTTTACTCTCAAAAAGCTTTTTAAAATAAGTGTTGATGTTTTTGTTTGTGTTTTGAGGAGCGTCACTGCAGGCTGTTTGAAAATCAATGGGAATTCTGAGCGATACCATTTCTCCAGGGGGGCTAAAATCAACCCTTCTTTTGTTAATATTTCTACATTATATTTAAAAAGCTTTAAACGGTATAATTTTTGTTATTTTTGTTTAAAATTGGTTTTTGATGAAGTTTTAAAGTGGTGCTGGTTTTACTTTTTTATATTTCTGGCGGGTGCTGTAACCGCCCCCCCTCTATGGACTTGGTACAGTCCGGGATGAAGCTAGGAGAGCTCGAGCGCTACTTTTCTCCCCGGATGTTAAACCATTAATGTTTTTAAGGAGCTCTTTTCGGTGTAAAAGGTGAACCCGGGACGCCTTAAAGCACTTTTTAAACTCACTCCAGTCCGGTTTAAGTTCTGACTGGCGTGCGGCCGGAAGCGTTGAGCCCGGTCCCGGGTTGGGTGAGGTCCGGTACCAGTCCGGGACGGTCCAAAGTGCGTGATGCCAGTGAACGGAGGGGGCCTGCTCTCCCTGAGCAGATACCCGACCCAGTATTTAACCGTAAGTACCGCTCGTTTGATTCAAAATGGCGGGGGTTCGGAGCTCGACCCGTCAAGGTTCGGTGTCGGTGGTTCTGGGGGAAATGTTCTGAGGTTTTTGGGTGTTTTGGAGGACATTTTGTGTCCCGGCTGAAGCCTGTTGCATCCCGCCGCACCTGCTGCCTCCCTGTCCGCCTCATTTATCACCGATTTAACTGCGAAAACTCCAGAAAAAGCGACAAATATGGCCTTAAATTGACTTTAATCAACTATTAATTCTTCTTTATTTAATAATATACGACTTAACTTTAATGTTCTGAAATTTAGGGGTCAAAACGTCACATTTATCCAGTAAATTTAGTCAAAAATCTTTTTTCTACTGTGACCATTTAGTAACAAACGGTGCCCTCTGTTCAAATTAAGTGCTTAAATTTATTTTAATTAGCTTTATTTATCCCTTTTTAAACTTTTGAACTTAACTGTTATAGCACTGTTTGTCCAGCAGGGGGCAGACTTGCACAACATTTCACTTTATGGCTTTAAAAACAAAACAACTAAAATGTTAAGTTGGTTTCATTAAAAAAAAATAACCACAAAAAGTCATTTATAACTTTAGAATTAAGGGGACCTTTTTGCTGTTATTTTTAAACAATCACTTTTTAAGTTTAAAAATAACAGGGGAACACAAAATTGAATAATCCAGAAGTTTCTAACATTATAAAGTTGTTGTTTTTGGCTCAACTTTTTGTGATGATGTTTAAACTGCAGAAGGTGAAAAAGATGCTGCTGATATAAACGTTGTTTACTCGAACGTTTAGCTTGTTTACATCCTCGCCTTCTCTTTAAACTTTTAAGAGCTGCAGTTCTGAGAGTAAAATATTAATCTTTAATTTGAAACAATATTTCAGCAGATCAACCATTTTATGCCTCTGTAGGCGTCGTGTCTTGTTTCTTAAAGCGCTGCAGACTCATCATTTCCTGTTTCTAGTGGGACGCAGTTTGACGTCGGACCTCTCCACACGACCCGGTTCAAAGTCAAACAGCTCAGAAGAACCGATCGGTGGACCTTAAATGGCGCTTATTGATTATTATAACGCCACGCCGTCGCTCTTATTTCAGCCAGAAAGATGCTGTCTGGGTATTTTAATCTCTGCTCAGGAGAAGAAACTGACGTATTCAAAGCCAAAGTTATAAACCAAGATCTGTTAGCACTCGGGATATGTTGTCGGGACGACTCTCGGCTACCGCATTCCTGATTTTAGCTGTTTATCAGTAAAACTGACAGTTTTAGCTGTTTCAGTAAAGCATGAGTTGATCAGCTCATGTAAAGACGGCTTGCTGACAGTTTTAATAAACCTGGGACATGAGATATTTTACTAACACGCACAATTACATGATTACCCGTCTAGTTCCAGGGGGAGAACTCCCACTTTGTAACCAACGGAGTGAATAGGTCACTTAAAATGAGGCTTTTATTGTGAAAGTCTGCAGGGAATGTGGGAGTTCTATCACCAAAAAGATTTAAAGAATTTGAGAATGTAGGGCGGGAAACTAAAAGCAGCTTTGAGTAAAAACAGACCAGCGTCGGGTCAACGACTCAGAATTATTTTACATTAAGACGAGTCGAGTTAGATGCTTTGAAATTAAAGAAGAATTAAAAGTTTTTAAATGTAATTAAGGGCTGCGTCTATCTTCGCTTTAATCTGTTTGGTGTTAAAATAAACTGGCGAGGCTTCGTTTCAGAGCGACTTCCTGCCGTTATTTTTAAAATCCAGGGAATAATTAGTTTTGAGTCACATCCTGCGATAACGATCGGGTGTTTTTATTCTCCTCGTTAGCAGGCTGGGGGGGTTGTGCGTCGTTGCGTAACGGCACTCGCTCAGGACACTCGGACTTAAACGGCAGGCGTGCCTCGGAGCCGCCATCACGCCACGTCTCCAAGTCCGAGGAGACGGGTCGAGTGGAACCGCTGAGAGCGCCGGCTCCTGTCGAGCCGCTCCGCTTGTTCTTCCTCCAGACGTTCTGAACGGAGGTTAAATATGAAACGTGCTCCTCGGCTCGTACGAGCGTCTTTAACCTGAGCGGTTCCGTGTGTGCTGCAGAGTTCAAACAGCTCACCTTTCTGCCTGTTAGCAAAATATCTCATGAACCATTGGATGAGAGTCGATGAAACGTTCAGAATACGATCGCTGGGCATGCCTCTCCAACTGATTAGCTTTAGTAGTTAACACAATTCAAAATGGCCGCCTCAGCCAACAGAAATACGAAACTCAAATTCCTTTAACACAGCCAGTTTTACAGCTATAGCCGAGACACGTTCTCTGAGCGCCACATATTGAGCAACTTCTTGGTCTGTTAGCAAAATATTTCATGAATCTCAGTAACTACTCGACTTGTGTCAACAGAGTAACGTTTAGAGTTGCTTCAATTCAAGATGGCCGCCACAGCTGGTTGACCTTGGCCAACAGAAAAATGGCTCGAACTGTTGATTTTACAGATTTGGGGCGTGGCGGTAGCTGAGCCTGATCCCCGCTGCGCGCCCCGAGCGCAGTGCCGCCTGTCATTTTCTCGTCTCTAAATCGACAGGTGATGAGCGTTTCTTCCAGGACGGCCCCGCCCTCATTCCTGCGTGCCGGCAGTCCTGTGAGCTCTGAGGTCCGCTACTTCTGTTGGCCTAAAGACCATAAAACCGGGTCACGACGGGGCTCCTCCAGACCCATATCCTTCCCCAAACGTCTAAAATTGGCTCTCAGGACCTCTGCTCCGGTTTCGGCTCCTTCGCCCTCCAAGTTTGCGGCGAACCGTCTCTGCGTTGTGAGCGCTTGTGTTCCAACGGGAGCAGACGTCGGTGTGTTTACTCCTCCTGCAGACGGTGGGATTTGTTCTGAATGTAGGCCAGCAGATCCCTCTTACGTCAAAGGCAGGCGGGCAGATGCAGGGAGAGAGCCGCCGGTGCAGCTGTGGCGATGGAGGAGGCTGCGGCGCACGTCGCTCCGTCACAGCTCCGCCGGCGCTGAGCAGAGACGCGGCTCCGAGCTCCCAACATGAAGACCGTCCTCAGCCTGCACAGGAAATGGGCCCACGCCGTCAAGACCATCCGCATCCTGCAGGGACTCGTGAGTGTCGGACCCGCCGGTCCTGGCAGGTTTACTCAAACTAAATCCAGACGCCTGTTCTGAGCGGAGCCCGGAGGAAGTTTGTCTGGTTTTCAGGCCAAAAGTTTCTGTGCGAGCCGCCGCTCTTTCACGACGAGTTCGATTCTTTTCACCGTCTGAGGATTAGAGTCGGTGCGGACGCTTCTTCCTGCGCCTCCTGGTTGTGTAACGGTGGCGAGGGCTGATGAACTTCGTTGTTGCGTCACGTTATTCGTTTTTAATCTCGGAGGTGAACAAACGTCCACAACAGAATAATCTTTGCTTCTCTGTCCACAGAACCCGGTCATGGAGGAGACGGTGTGGGAGCAGTACACGGTGACCCTCCACAGAGTGAGTCCGTCCTCACACAAACACGCCGCTTTACTTCAACCACTGAGCAACCGTTGTCCTGACAAATAGTTAAAAAATCTTATTTTATTTCATGCAAATTAGAATTTTTAGCTCCTTTTATGATAAAAACGGAGCCGACTTGTATAAACATTTGAGCTAGGGTCACGTAAAGCATGATTTGTTGAATTTGACGGTTAAGACTCAAGAACTGGAACCAGTTTGACTCAAAACGCGTAATAGATCAGATGAATAAAAACATCCGTATTTATTAATGTCATGAGAAAATATGAAGTGTTCAGAAATATTCTGTGAACCTGCTGTGAATCAACTGGGCCTAAAGTGTTAAAAGATAAACGTCAGAATGTGTTGAGATATATTTTTAAGTTTTAAAAGCTCTCGTGACGAAGGTTGGGAATAAAATCATTTTGACAGATTTGTTTCCGTTTTGGTCAAACCTTAAAAAAATAAACTCGGCCTCCATTTGTCCGGCTCAGAATGTGTGTTGTTGATGACTCTCAGCTACTACCACAACACACTTGAGCTCGGTATCTAAAACTGAGTTTTGTTCGCCGACATAGATGAGCTCGGGCAGCCATCTTGAATTTGGCTGACTGGGTTTTAGACGTGCATCCAACGAATCTGTCCTGAATGTTTCATTGAACGGAATCGATCGATTCTGTTCACTTTGATGGACAGAATTTCTCGGTGCAGCCAGGGAGGGGACGTAGTCCGGATCGGTTTACGGATGATCTGGTTCTGCTGGCATCCTCGTGCCGTGATCTCCAGCTCTGTGGAGCAGGATGTCTGAGGACATGGTCCTCAGTCAGAGGGTGGACGGTCCTCTCTGGGTTGGGAGTAGTTTCAAGAATGAACGCAGAAAGAACGGAGCGTGAGGTCGATTCCTGGCATGTCCAACAGGGAGGAGACCCAGGACATGCTGGAGAGACTCTTAGCTGGACTGGGAACAACTTGGAGTCCTCCCAGAAGAGGTGTCTGTGGACAGAGATGTCTGGACCTCCCTGCTCGAGCTGCTGCCCCTGAGGCCTGACTCCACAAGATGATGGACGACGAGTCTTAATCGCGACCCTCGAACGGTTTCGACTCGTTAAAAAGTCGTGCGGCCGTGCGAGCAGCGCCGACCAGTCGAGCTTGGGTAATCTCTCTGATGAGCTCATTGTCCCGTGCTGCTGCGCGCCGACGCCAGAAAAGCAGATTTAGAGCAAAAACATTGTCTGCTGCAGGAATGTGACCTCTGCTCGTCCCCGCCCCCACCCCCTGCAGCCAGCTGTCACACTCTGCGCTCCATCCACGTTGGGTTCTATGTTGACTCCGTTAATTCAGGAACAAATTATAGAATTCGTTGGATTTTTGTTGCACTAAAATGTTTCTGTTGTTACCGACACGCCTTTTTGTCTTCAGGATCCAAAAATGGGGTTTGGCATCGCGGTCTCTGGAGGACGGGACAACCCAAACGAGGAGACGGGTGAGACGTCCATCATGGTGTCCGACGTCCTGCAGGGAGGACCGGCCGACGGACTGTTGTTGTGCGTACCTTTTTATTTATTCTAGCTCCCCGTTGCTCTAAAACAAACGCCTCTTTAGTTTCGGCTCGTCTCCGTTTCAGTGAAAAGGATCGGGTCGTTCAGGTGAACGCCATCCCCATGGAGGGGGCGCAGCACTCCTTCGCCGTCCAGACCCTCAGGAAGTGCGGGAAAGTGGCGAAAATTGTTAGTACACGTTTTGTTTTATCGTCTGAAGGTTAAAAATCCTGAATCAGTCCCAAACGTGTTGTTTGGGTGAAAGTTCTGAACGTTTCCTCTGACTGGTTTATTTCCAGACGGTCAAACGACCCAGGAAGGTTCCGGTGAACCTGATGAACCGTCCCCCATCCCCCGATGACCGAGTCTTCAACAACGACTACAACGATGACTACAACTACGACTATGACCGCCGCAGCGCCGGGGGGCGGGACCATAGCCCAGAAAGGGAGCGAGGAGTGGGGGGAGATCTCGGATACCAAACCCGGGACTACGACCGCGGCAGGATGGCGGACAGGGACCTGAACCCAAACCGGAACTACAAAAGAGACGGGAGCAGAGGACGCACTCTGGACCGGGAGCCCAGCCCCGACCGCCGCTACAGGAGCGACAACAGGCTGGACCGCGACTACAGCCCGGACCGGAGGTACCAAGACTACAGTCCGGACCGCCGCTACCGCAGCGATCGAACCCTCGACCGGGGCCACAGCCCGGACCGCCGCTTCCGCAGTGAGCGAACACTGGAGCGCGACCACAGCCCAGAGCAGCGCTACGGGCGGGACGGCTACAGAGACCAAGACCCGAGGAAGTACGACGAGCCGATGAAACGGAGTGGGAGCAGAGACCGCCTGGAGCGCTCGCCATCGCCCCCTCCAGCGCCCATCCCTCTGCCCCGCCCCGCTCGAGACCTGGCGCCGCTGGAGAAACCGGTCAACGTTCTCCTGCTGAAGAACCATCCCAACGAAGGTGAGACGCCAGCAGAACCTTTGAACGGCAGTCTGAGCCTCAGGACATTTGTAAAGTCTCGTTTTAGACGGTTTGACGGCCATTTTAAACGTTTGTTCTAATTTAATTGAAAATCAAGATGCACCAACGTTTACGGTTTCTTTTACACGATGGAAATGTTGATTTAGGCAAGTTTTAGTCCTCCGTCTTAGAGCGAAGAGGAGGAATCAGAAATACTCTCCATCCATCCGTCTCTTGTGAACACGATCACTTGAAAAAGAAGTCGGGTACCGATTTCCATTTTGGTGCTTTGCAACTAGGAGATTAAAAGTTCCTATAAATATTTATGTTTATTGGAATTAACCGGTCGGGTATTTTGTTAAATGAAAAATTCATAGACACAAAGATGCAGAACAATCCGTGGTTGGCTGCCCCGCTGTCGACCGTGGAAAACCTCCCATGGGTCTGGTTTTCAGATCTGGATATTTGGCTGTAGCCTCCATGTTTTCTATCATAACGTCGGTCAAAGTGCAGCGGTAGTGAATCTACAGAAACTAAAGTGTTTGGTTTTAGACACTTTGGACGCTTCTTAACTATTTTGGGTAAATATGTTGAGACTTGGATTCTCTGGTGCGAACGGGTCGAAGCATCTCGGGAGACTCTTCGCAAACGCAGCTCGGTGAGATACGACCATCAGGTTTGTCCGTCACGTGAGGCACAGAGGCTCTTTAGTCATTTTTCCATCGTTCGGTCTCGGTACGACTCTTTTTTTAATCCTAATTAAACCCCCGACTCGGTTCTTCGTGGTAGTTTTCCAAATCACTTGACCAGCAGGTAAATGCGTTGAATCAAAACGCTCACCGTCCTCTGCCACAGTTTGCACAAATACTGTAGCCGAGTCACGACCACCTTCCCTCCACCGTTCAGAACCCATCAATCGAGCCCATTTGGTCAAACTCTGTCTGTGGTCAGCCAACAAACAAACATCTGGACCTCCTCCAAGTGCCACAGTGTTGGTTTGTGTTGCCATTTTAATGGATAAATTATGATTAAAAACATTTTAAAGTAAATAAATGCTGCGTTGGGTTTGATTCCTGTGAAGGAGACGCTCATGATTGACGTCTCTTTGATCTAACCTGGGGCCCACGGTCTGCTGAGGTCAGATCTTCAGCTCGGCTCGCTTGGAGCCTCGGCTGGTTGGTTCTGGACCCGTAGTACCCTACGAGCTGAAAGTGTGTGGGGTAACCCAACGGAAAGACTGAAGTCAGACCCGAGGAGACGGGTCTGTTCTGTTTCGCTTGCATTTTGAACATCCGTGTAATTTAAAACCACCTGAAATAATCACGTTTGTTGAGCGTTTCAAATCCTCTCCGTTTAGTTCACCATAGTTTCAGAACCGTGTTTGAGTCCTGCACCGGAGCTCCGGTCCTGCAGGGAACATCCGAACCTACGGCCCGATCGCCCACTCCTGAAAACCGCGCTGTTTGTGAAATGGCTGCTTCCTTCTTCAGGGGTCACCACAGCAAGCAAACTCATGAAAGAGTTTAATTAAACGCCTGACGCCTGTCCTGAAGCAACCTGGGCTCGAACCCGCAACCACAGGATTCCAAGACCACAGCGCCGATTATACTAACGATGAATAATAACGCTTAAAGACCGGGTCCGAGTCAGCCTGTCTTCGTTTCAGGAGAATGGTTTTGTAAAAATGGGAGCGGCTGCTGAGGCGATGTGGGCGGAGTCAGGTAAAAAATAATGTGCGCAGCCGCGACTACATCTCTCTAAACCGTGAACACAAAAACACTCCGAATCACTAACGTTGGTCGCAAACAGGACTTTGAGACCACAGCAGAAAATTAATCTGTCTGCTCGTGATAATCTCTGAGACACTGGCTTCAAGTTGATTAGCTGTGGCGGCCATCTTGAATTGAGTTGACCGGAGCTTCACGAGATACTCAACAACTGGGCGACGGGAGATCGTTGGGTGCATTTAATCTTTTGTCGAAGCATGAGGGGAAACAATGTTTTTATTTGTTTTGTTTTCCAGAGTACGGCCTTCGCCTGGGCAGCCAGCTCTTCATCAAAGAGATGACCAGCACCGGACTTGCAGGTCGCGACGGCAACCTGCAAGAGGGGGACATAATCCTGAAGGTACCGAACTTGTTTCAAGTTTTTCGTTTACACGTTTGGGGAAAATGTGCAGAACGTTGGTCCAAACGGGTCGCTCGCCCGCCGCTCTTTCAGATCAACGGCACGGTGACGGAGAACCTGTCCCTCAGCGACGCCGGGAAGCTGATCGAGAAGTCCCGCGGGCGGCTGCAGCTGGTGGTGCAGAGGGACCGGCGGCAGGTTCTGATCCGGATCCCGCCGATGGTCGACAGCGACTCGGAGCTCGATGGTGAGAGACCCTCGAAGCCGAGAAGCGGCAGGAGCTTCCCGGTGTGAATGCGCGCGTCGTCGTCATCACCGCCATCTTCATCATCACGTAGACCCCCCTCCCCCCACTGCATGTGAACTTCCTGTTGCCATAATTCATGTTGCTGTAATCTGTTTTTACGCTCATTAAATAAAGCTTTTACTCATCACTTTTCAGTGGTGGTCAAAGATTATTTCTCCGCTGTGTTAACTCGTCCTCCAGCCTCTTGTACCTGGTGTTCATGTCACATGACCTGTTGGCCTGCTGGGATTGGTCGGCTCCCGTCTGGCTGAAGGGAGGTAGAACAGCCCAAAGACCCGTGACCCACTTTGTCTGGTTTTGTCTCGGTGTGCGTCTTCATGTGTGAAAGTGTTCGTCCGCCTGCAGCGGGGTGATCTAATCCCTGATCGTAATCCTGCTGCCGAGCGCCACGGCGTCTCACCGCGGCAGCCGGGCCCTTTAGAGAATAATTTCTGTAGAGCCAGCAGAGCTCTGCGAGGTCCAAACTGCACATACCCGCCTCGATTTTCTCTAGCAGCGTGTCTGCAGGAAGTTTAGTGGGAGAGCTCACGTGTGAGGAGCAGTTTGACCGTTCTCTGCTTTTATTTTGACAGGACAAGCTTAGACCATTTTCATTTTGTCTGTCGTGTTTTGCAGATATCTCTGAGATCGAGTCGTACCGCTCTTATTCTCCACAGGATGACAGACGGGTTCACCACTCCGACCTGTCGTCGCACTCGTCCAACGAGAGGATTCGAGACAAACCCAGGTACACTTCGGCTAAACCCGTTCAGGTTTCCCCTGAGGCCCCTCTGGACTCTGCTGTCCCGCGTTCAGTCAATGTGGACTCGACGTGCAGCTTCTGAGCTTTCAGATCTCCACCAGGAAACTGAACGTTAGTCCGCTCCATGTTGAGGTTCTGACCCGGTCCGAACTCGCCGCTTCCTTAAATTAATTTGTAACCTGGAAACTGGTCCAAGACGTTTATCGTTTATTTTGTCTCTTTGGCTTCAAATCTGCAGGTTTACTTTTTTATCAACAAATAATTTAAATGTTCACCTCAATCAGGAGACGAGATTTTTTTTTTCTCCAAAATATTAACTATATATATATATATATATATATATATATATTATATC